GCCTGTGGACACACACTCCTGCCTGTGGACACACACTCCTGCCTGTGCCCTGTCCCTGGCATGATGTCATCATCCTTCTGTAATCATCAGCTGTGTTCTCAGGTGTTTCCTTGTCTGGTTTGTTTGTTAATATTTTTAACACTTGTGTGGCCAGATGCTAAAAATGTAGAAACATCGTATTCTATGACTGTGATTACCCATAATGCCCCCCCCCCATCCCCCCAGGATTATAATGGTGTGTGTTGGACTTGAACCAGTCAGATCACGTCTAGTTCTGCACCCCGTTTCCTGTGGAGTTTTCCGCACCTCGTTTCCTGTGGAGTTTTTGTACGTGTCCTGTCCACAAACACTCTTTTTTTTTACTGTCTTTGTCCTGATGTTTCTGTGCAGGTATACATGGGTAACAGGCAGAGAGCCTTTGACATATTACGACATGAACTTGTCAGCTCAAGACCATCAAACCTTCTTTACCTGCGACTCAGACCACCTGAGGCCGGCTGATGCCAGTAAGATCATTCAGACAAGTGTTTTAGGCGTCCACATGCGACATGTCTCCAAATCAAACGTGGTTTGTGTCTGTTCTTTCAGTCATGCAGAAAGCGTGGAGGGAAAGGAACCCTCAGGCTCGTATTTCTGCAGCACATGAAGCTCTGGAGCTTGAAGAGTGAGTTTAATTTCTTTTTCATTTTGGCCCTGTTCATACCTGCCACTAGTAATGATCTTGGGTGATTGACTTGTAGGGGTCAGCAGTGAAATGTGCGTCCCAAAACGTCTTTGCAATCAGACGTCAATCACCCACTGTGTCTGCAGATACATACATGTTCTACCACTTCACTTTGAAGGAAATATCAGCACTACGTGATTATAAAGTGACACGATGCTGCTCGGCATGGAGTTAATATGTTAATTTAGATTCCCCCCACTCCGAGTTTCCATTTTCTTAACCAAGAACTATGAGACTCAACCATTAGATCAACCTAACCTCCCGTCCTCACTGCTTTACTGCTAATTATCCCCTGTTGCCGAGCAAAAAGGGGAAATTGGAAATACCCTCTTTCCATCCATGGCTCCATGCATGCTGTGAGCATGATGATTGAAAAATAAGTGAGGCACCAACTTCCGTTTTGATGTGTGCCTTCATCTCGCCGATATCAATACTGGGAGGGGACGGCTAATGCCAGTAACTAATATATTGACTGATTTTTTTTTAATCTTTGTCTACCCCCACAATCTCAGTAAACGGCTACTTTTAAACCTGTTTTAACCCTTGAAGTCTTGAAACAGTCTTCCTAACGTGCATTCACATTTTCTATCCTCCACTATTCATCATAAAGTTATCAGCTGTGTTTCAAAAATATAAATTAAATAAAGAAAAACCTTCCTGTTCATTATTTAAACAGTCACGTATGGTGACGGTCTAATTAGCATTGATCGCAGCAGAGTTTATTTTTCTTTGTAGAGAAGTAAAGATTTCAGGCAAACAATACATTTCATTGAGGACGAAATAAAGATAATAAAGATAATGTTACTGATATATTTTACCTCTACGTTAGATTTATTGTTCTGGATAAAGTTTTATCAGGCAATAGCTTATGCTAAGTTAACTAAATGTTAGCTTGCAAACTTCAGAGGCATGTAGCTAAAGACCAGCAGGTTGAAGGATTGAAGAGAATTTATTGTTGATTTGTTTTACAGATCAGTTCAAATAAACTTAGCATGCTCTGTTCAGTAAAATACGCTACATAGTATTGCTCTCGGCTTTGGCTGCCCTGAAAGTGAAACTTAAGTGAACGGCCATGACTTGAAAGTAGTCTTCATGCCCCCTCTGCTGGATACATTGTACAATTACACCATTTGCACATAAGGACACGGCTCATTCTCAGTATTAACATTAAAAATTAGAAGTTTATATCAGTGTATAATGAGCCAACTGTCACCAATATTGATGTGTCCCCAAATGCCTATATCAGCCTAAAATATCAGCCCTACCAATGTAATTGCCTTGGGAGGGCGTTCATCTCTTCGCGGTTTGTTTGTTTGTTTATTTATTTATTTACTTATTTTGTAAACTGACCACACAGATCATTGTTCTGCTTTCTTGTTTTATATTGCTGAAATGTATATCCATCCATCCATAGATGAAATGAAATGTATAGGTTTTTTCAAATGATTGGGGTTGCCAAAGGTTACTCAGTGGTGGCCACCATTAGCCACCCCCTGGCTTCAACCCTGGCGGTAGATAAAATGGCTCCCTCCACTCTCCAGAATCCGTCACTCTGCACTGCTGCTGACGATGAGTTCTCGTGACTCAATGAGACTACCTGTATAACTAAAGGGTAAATGAAAGAAACCAAACCCTGGTCTGGTCTTCTCCACTGTGTAACCCTCAACCACCTGAAAAAATAATAATGTTTTATGGGTTGTCATTATTGTATGTTTCCATACAGTGGCAAAATTAGCTCTCTGCAATTAACCCATCCACCACCAGGTGGAGCAGTGGGCAGCTATGGAAAGCACCTGCTCAGAGACACCAGAGATGTGCAATGACCGGGGATCGAACCCAGGACCTTCGGCTGCCCGGCCCCTACACTATCTCGACCCCAAAAATATATAATATCGTGAATATTGTGCAGTAAAACATTGACTTCATTCTCTGTTCAGTTCTTGTCCAGAGAAACACTCATCTCCAAAATTACAAACATTCACTGTTCAAATCCCTCAGAGACGGGGACATCAGCGCACTGCTTGTTAATACTGCTTATAGTGGAACTAACAGCCTTTTTAACTCTGAGTCCTTCAGAGTGTCTGGTTAGAAAACACGTAATACATGTAATACATGTAATACATGTATTACATGTATTACATGTATTACATGTATACATGTAATACATGTAATACATGTTACGTGTATACATGTATACACGTAACATGTATACATGTATTACATGTATACATGTATACATGTAATACATGTAATACATGTATACATGTATTACATGTATTA